ACCTGTACAAGAGAGACGGGTTGCACCTAAACTGGAGGGGAACCAATACCCTCGCAGGGAGGTTCGCTAGGTCTACTCGTGAGAGTTTAAACCAGAGTGGCAGGGGACTGGGAACCAGAGCGGCAGGTCAGCAAGTAGAGGGATTGAGGGGAAGGTATGTGTTAGAAGGAGTAAATCAGAAAAAGGACAGCCAGAGACAGGTAAATGTACGCAATGGTACTAATAGGCTGAAGTGTGTTTATTTCAATGCAAGGAGTATTATAGGTAAGACAGATGATCTTAGAGCCTGAATCAGTATGTGGGACTATGACGTTATGGCAGGTACAGAGCCATGGTTGAGAGAGTGACAGGACTGGCTGCTCAACATTCTGAGTTTTAGACGTAAGGGACCCTTGGTTAATGAGAGGGGTTATGAATTTTGTCAAGAGGAGAATCCCAAGGCATTCTATACATATATTAAAAACAAGAGGATAACTAGGGAGAAGGTAGGACCACTCAAGGATAAAGGAGGGAACTTGTGTTTGGAGGCAGAGGTTGTGGGCGAGATCCTAAATGATACTTTGCATCAGTATTCACTCAGGAGAAGGATATGGAGGATAGTGAGATTTGTGTGGAGCATGCTAATATGCTAGGGCATTTTCAGGTAGAGAAAGAAGTGGTATCGGGTCTCTTGAAGAGCAATAAGGTGGACAAGTCCCCGGGGCCCAATAGTATCTACCCCAGGTTATTGAGAGAGGTAAGAGAGGAGATTGCTGGGGCCTTGACCAAGATCTTTGTGTCCTCGCTAGCCACTGGAAACGTCCTGGAGGACTGGAAACTAGCTAATGCAAGAAGGAAAATAGGGATAATCCAGGAAACTATAGACTGGTGAGTTTCACATTGGTGTTTGGGAAGCTATTGGAGAGAATTCTTAGGGTTAGGATTTACACACATTTGGAAAACCAGGGCCTAATTAGGAACAGTCAGCATGGCTTTGTGAAGAGCAGGTCATGTCTTACTAACTTGATTGAATTTTTTTAGGAGGTGACAAAGGTGATCGATGAAGGTAGAGCAGTGGATGTTGGATTATAGTAAGGCTTTCGACAAGGTCCCTCATGGTAGGCTCATCCAGAAGATTAAGATGCGTGGGATCCACAGTGACTTGGCCACATGGATTCAGAATCGGCTTGCCTATAGAAGGCAGAGGGTAGTGGTGGAAGGGTGTTTTTTTCAGGCTAGAGGCCTGTGATGAGTGGTGTTCTGCAGGGATTTGTACTGGGACCTCAGCTATTTGTGAGTTATATAGATGACTTGGATGAAAATGTAATTGGGTGCATTAGTAAGTTTGCAGACAATACAGAAATTGGTGGAGTTGTGTCTAGTGTAGAAGGTTATCAAAGGATATAGCAGGATATGGATCAGTTGCAGATATGGGCAGAGAAATGGCAGATGGAGGTTAATCAATGTAAGTGTGAGCTGCTGCACTTTGGGAGATCAAATGTTAAAGAAAAGTACACAGTTAATGGCAGGCCCCTGAACAGCATTGATGGGATTCAAGCCCTTAGCTCCCTGAAAATGGCTGTGCAAGTAGACAGGGAACTAAAGAAGGTATATGGCATGCTTGCCTTTATTGGTTGGGGAATTGAGTACAAGAGTCAGGATGTCACATTGCAGCTTTATAAGACTTTGATTAGGCCATATTTAGCGTACCGTGTTCAATTCCAGTTGCCACATTTCAGGAAGGATGTGGAGGCTTTGGAGAGAGTGCAGAGGAGGTTTACCTGGATGCTGCCTGGATTAGAGGGTACAGGCTATAAGGAGAGGCTGGAAAAACTCAGGTTGTTTTCTCTGGAGCGGTGGAGGCTGAGGGGAGACTTGATAGAAGTCTATAAAATTATGTGATGCATAGATAGGGTTGATGGTCAGAATCTTTTCCCCAGAGTTGAAATGTCTAGAACTAAGGTGCATACATTTAAGGTGAGAGGGGGAAAGTTCAAAGGAGATGTGAGGGGAAAGATTTTTACGCAGAGAGTGGTAGGAACGTGCTGCCAGGGGTGGTGGTGGAGGTAGATTCGATAGGGGCGTTTAAGGGACTTTTTGATAAACACATGAATATGCAGGGAATGATGGAGGAATATGGACCAAGGGCAGGAAGAAGGGATTAATTTAATTTGGCGTCATGTTCAACACAACGTTGTGGGCCAATGAGCCTGTTCCTGTGCTGTATACTTCATTGTTCTATGTTCTATTAACTGTGTAAGTCCTTCCCTGGTTAGTCTTACCAAAATGTAAGACCTTGCATTTATCTGAATTAAACCTTATGTACCATTCCTTGGCCTACTGGCCCAGTTCATCAAAATCCTGTTGTATCTTGATAACCTTCTTCACTGTCCACTATACTACCAGTTTTGGTGTCATCTGGAAACTTACTAACCATGTCACCTATATTCTCATCCAAGTCATTTATGTAAATGATGAACAACGGTAGACCCAGCATCAATCCCAATAGCATGCAGGCGTCTAGTCTTAACAACAACCCTTTACCACCCGCCTCTGTTTCCTACCTTCAAGCCAATTTTGTATCCAATTGGCTAGCTCTCCCTAGATTCCATGTGATCTAACCTTACTAACCAGTCTACTTTGTTGAAGGTTTTGCTACAGTCAATGTAGACATCACCTACAGATCTGTCTTCATCTATCTTCATGATCACTTCTTCAAAAAACTTAATCAAATTTGTGAGACACGATTTCCCACACACAAACCCATGCTGACTCTCCCTAATCAGAGGTAGGCTTTTCAAATGCGTATAGATCCTGTCTCTCATCATCCCCTCCAACAACTTACCCACAACATTAGCACAGCACCAGCCATCCTCCAGTCTTCTGGCACCTCACCCATGGCTGTTGATGATCAAATATCTCTGTTAGAGATCCCACTATTTCTTTCCTAGCTTCCCACGATATCCTGGGAATATACTTGATCAGGTCCTGGAGATTTATCTACCTCTATGTGCTGTAAGGCTTCCAGCACCACCTCTTCTGTAATGTGGACTCTTTTCAAGACATCACTATTTATTTCCCCGAGTTCTCTAGCTTGAATGCATTTCTTTGCAGTATGGTAATGAGAGAATAATTTCACCCAAAAGACTGAGAGGTTTTTTCTTCTTTATTCATTCACGGGATGAGGGCATCGCTGGAATTGTAGTGGAAGACTTTCAAATGCATTTTCTAAACTCAGTAAAGATTAATCCTCATGGAAAATAATATCACTTTGAGAAATGCATCTCACTCAATTGAATACAAAAGTTAAGTATAGCATCAAACTAAAAGGAACAATGCACAATTTTGTGAAAGTTAGTGGTAGTTTAGCATATGGACTGATTTTAAAACCAACAATGCATGACTAAAAAAAGGGGGGAAAGAGGAGAGTATGAGAGAAGGAGCTAGTAACATCAAAATGATAGTATGAGTTTCTATTATTATTTAAATAGAAGAGTAACTAAAACCAGTGTTAATCCTCTTGAGAGAGGGCAAGTCTGGGAACTGATAATGGAAAATAAGGAAATTGTAGAGGAATTGAACAGGTGTTTTGTGTCTGCCTTCGAGACTTGCAAAATATTCTCAGAGACATTTGGAAATCAAATGGTTAAAGAGAAGAGTGTACTTAAAACAATCACCATCACCAAAGACAAGGTACTAAGAAAACTATTAGATGTAAAATGTAACTAGTCCCCAGAACCAGATAGTCTGCATCCTAAAATCTTAAAAGTAGTTGCAGATATAGTAGAGGCTTGAAAGCATTCCAAATTTACTTATCTTCTACAAGGGTAGAATTGGATTGGATTCTACAATTGGATTGAAAAATAGCTGATGTTTCACTATTATTCAAAAATAAAGATCACTGAAAGCAGAAAATTAGAAGCTAGTTATTCTAACACGTGTCACAGGGAAGTTATAAGACTCCACTGTTAAGAAAGTTAAAGCAGGATATTCTGAACAACGTAATGTTAAGCAGCATCAACATGGTTTTGTGAAAAGGAAATTATATTTAACAAATTTTCTTTGAGATTTTGAGGATAAGCAAGGTGAACTTGAATTTCTAAAAGGCATTTGTTAAGATACCGTATCAAAGATTACTTACACAAGACACAAGCACATGGCATAAGAAATAATATTAGGATGGATAAAGAATTAGTTAATTAACAGGACACAGGACAGTAAGAACAATTAGATCTTTCCTGGGTGAGCAAACTGCAATTAATGGAATGCCACAAGGATAAGTACAAGAGTCTCAGTTATTTACAGTCTGCATTCATGACTTTCAAAGACATATAGAAAGTTACTGAGTGGGTGAATAGTTGGCAGATGTGGTACAATTTGGAAAAATATGGACTTAGCTACTTCAGCAGGAAAAATAAAAGACCATTATACTATTTAAGTTGTTAGAGTTTGTAGAACTGAGAGAATGCAGAACTCGGAGATATAGAGAGGTACGGGTATCCTAGTGTATGAATCACAAAGTTAGCACACAGGTTCAGCAAGTAATTAAGGAGGCAAATGGAATATTGGTGTTTATTGCAAAGAAAATGGAAGATAAAATGTCATAAAACATAGAAACTAGGTGCAGGAGAAGGCCCTTAGCATTTCAAAAAATGTGGGAATTAGGTGCAAAGGAATCAAAAGAAGCAAAGTAATTTAATTATGAAGTTGGAAATAAATGAAATTAAAACAAAGAAAATTGAATAAAATGTATTACTGGCAGGTTTCCCATGATGTTGCTTGCAGTGGAGGATCAATGAATTGTAAACAACTTAAAAACTCTGCAGGAGAGAGAGCTATCTCTAAACAGATACTTTTGAAAAAGCAATTTTGTGTCATTATGCATTACCATTTTTAAATGTTAATTTGGTCAAACTACAAAATATCACAGACGAAATGGTTTACATCCAGTGTTATGCTATATATTTAGATGCATGTTGTTTAAAAAGTGCTAAATCTCCATCATGTATTATTTTATTCAGGTATGGAATTGCAGGGACTGTGAATGTGACTGGGGATGAAGTCAAGAAATTGGATGTTCTGTCGAACAACCTCATCATTAATCTGCTGAAATCATCCTATAGCACTTCTGTGTTAGTGACAGAGGAAAACAAAGAGGCAATAATTGTGGAACCTGAGAGAAGAGTAAGTGTATAACAAATGTGGTTAGTGGATGGGTCTATAATTGCATTTCCTGTGTGCCCTTGCTGATTCTCTCAGTAATTATAATGATGATTACTTATGCATATATATTATAAATTATAGGACCAGAGTTAGTGGCTGAGCTTTCTTGCCAGTAATGTAAAAGTGTGAACTTAACCCTATAATCAAGGGCATGAAGTGCTGGGCAAACACAAAACAGCATCCGCAAAGTTGGGTCAATATTTTAGCTATAATCTATTATCTGTGAGGTACCTTCTTGGAGAGAGACAAATCCAGATGCATAGTTTTATTGTACAGATTGCAAAAACTAGTCACAACAAAATGAGAAATGATTTAAGACCTATTAAACATCAGAAGCCCTTATGGTGCGGGGCAAATTGGGAAGAAAAGAATTTCACAACAAAATCTTTTGAAATGAATTCTACAAAAACATTTAAATTGTATGGTAGAGTGGCCTCAATGGCTCAGTAGGTTAGTGCACTGCCAATGTGGCATCAGCCAAAGAGCTTCGTCTTTGTTAGCTGTCTCATCTCAGGAAATACTTTGGTAGGAGAAGTGATTGGGGAGGGATGGGGTGGGGGGGAAGTTGGTTGTCAGAGGGCCATCAATTTGCTTCAATCTATCCACCACTCTACATGCTTATTTTTGTTGTTCTTAATTCTTAACGGCAAACGCGGAGGCAGTGGCCTGGTGATATTATTGCCAGGCTATTAGACACTTAGATAATGTTCTGGGGATCCGTGTTCAAATCCTGCCATGGGCAGATGATGGAATTTGAATTCAATAAAAAAAATGTGGAATTAAGAGACTAATGATGACTATGAAACTGTGGTCAATTGTTGGAAAAACCCATCTGGTTCACAAATGTACTTTAGGAAAGGGAATTTGTCATCCTTACCTGGTCTGGTCTTCATGTGACTCCCGACCACAACAATATGTTTGATTCTTAACTGCCCTATTGTCAGTTAGGAATAGGCAATAAATAAATGCAATGTCCACATCCTGTGAGTGAATAAAAAGATAGCCAGGCTCCCTCAGGGCTAGTTTTCTGCAGAGATTGTTCCTGATCAAGTGAGCGAATTTACTTCTAATTTTGAAAACGGATCAACTCTCAGAATGGTTTTTCTTACTGAATAACATTCTTTATACACATTACTAAGAAGAAAAAGTCCCCATAGATGTTTAGGATATCGTTTTTAATTAATCATTTATCTGTTATGACCATGAGGAACATTAAAATACAGCTCTAACTTACACTTTTATGTATGAGCCAAATTGTCTCTCAAGACTCTTAACACTCGGAAATCAATGCAATAGATACAAAGCTAGGAGAATAAAAGAGGATAGGAGTAAGCAAAGGGAAATGAAATATGTAGTTGAAAAGAGGATTTTGAGTAGTTTTTTAAAAGCATTTTACATACAAATAGGTATTAGTCCATTTAATTTATATTTGCTTTCTTTTCAGGGTAAATACGTGGTCTGTTTTGATCCATTGGATGGCTCTTCCAATATCGATTGCTTGGTATCTATTGGAACTATATTTGGCATTTACAGGAATGTAAGTGTTTCTCTTGTTATCAGAATGTAAAACAGATTTAGTAGTGACATTCAGCTTGAACAATCAAGTAATGATTTAATTATAATTGGTTGCCTTTTCTGAAAAAGAAACAAGGGTTTGAAGCCTCTCTTTCCCTTTTTTTTGATAATGTTTTAAGGGACTGTTTTGAGCCTGCACCAATGCCACACTCTAAATGGCTGCCAAGTGACATACCAGAGTGGTCTAAACCTCCTCTTATTCTTGTTTTTCAGTCCAGTACCACCATCCTGCTGTAACTGATTTCAGATTTTTAACAATGAGGATATAATCAACATGACTCATAAATAGTCACTCATGGTGCAGTATGTTTTGCTGGAAGAATTTCCCTCCCTCTACTTTTTAACTCTTCCTATCCATTTGCTTTCAAAAGCTGGCATATACCTTCATGAGCATTGACCCATGAGGTTGAGTGAGTATGAGAGGTTTACAACTGACACCGAACGATATACTCATCTGATCTGCAAACGCATTGTTGAATCTGCACAGACCAACTGTTGAAATGGCTTAAGGTTATGTGTAACTGACAAAGACAGATCAGATTGGATGCATTCTTCTAACTTTCAATCTTGTTTGCAGGCCATGTATTGTAACTATAGTTTATGCACAAATTATAAAGTTCTTTTTACAAAATTTTAGTTTATAAAATACTAGTCAATTGAAATTCAGAGTGCAGTCAAATGCAGTATGGGCCTCATAGGTTGCAGTATTGTAATACAAACACATTTAATGAGGCAAACTTCTGCCTGTTACTAGTTTGACTGGTGTTTTAACTTTGAACTTTTCAAATCATATTTAGACTTCCCTAACGCATTGCATTTTGCTCAAATACCCTGCATGTTTTCTAGCATGGAGCCCAACACATAGCAGAGAGTTGGTATATTCATTTTTTGATTGATCCATCAATTTTAATAGGCTGCTTGAAGTCGTCCATGAATATTAGTGGTCCCGCAAAATGATTCAAGCATCAGCACATCAGCACAAATATTGCTAGAGTCTACTTATTGCAGGGTCACTGATATTTTTTTCTATATTGAATAAAATTCTGTCACTGCAAAATATCACAGTGGATAGCAGAGTGGAAATGGTTTCATGCTGACAGTGTAAATTAGAGAGACTCCTTCCTCTATTATAAAGAAGAAGGGTCCACCAGATCCGAAACATTAACTCTACTTTCTCTCCATGGGTGCTGTCAGACCTGCTGAGTTTTTCCAGCAATTTTTGATTTTGTTTCTGATTTCCAGCATCCACAGCTCTTCAATTTTTTTTGTTCAGAGGAACAAACAAATTATTTTTAAAAGGATAAACACAAAAGCTGTTGACCTAGATTTTTCTGTAAAAAGCCTTAGTTTATTTTTAAACAAAGGAACTACAGATCCATCATGAGTTGGGAATTTTTGCCCAGAAGGAATTTAGTGGTATTTATGCAAATATCTTGTTATTGGGGTTAATTTAACTCAAGTGGCGATTTAATCTCAGTTTCTGCATTACGAAAGGGAAAATTAACCAAAATCGTTGCTGCTAACTTTTGCAAGAAAGAGATGAGTACGTGATAATATTTAGAGTGACCACAAGATGGTGCTCTAAAGTGTTATTGAATAAAGAGATAGTAGGAACTGCAGATGCTGGAGAATCCGAGACAACAAGGTGCAGGGCTGGATGAACACAGCAGGCCAAGCAGCATCATAGGAGCAGAGAGGCTGACGTTTCGGGCCTAGACCCTTCATCAGAAAA